TTATAGCTTTTTAAATATAGCTTTATTTCATCAGTGAGATTTTCAATGGTTTGGGATTAATATGATAATCCCCTTTTACTGTGTTTTTGAGATTTTGAGACTAATTATAGTTACTGTGTTTAATCCGTCAAACCTCTTTTCTCACTGTAACTCATTTATTGTTTCCTTTTCCTTCATTTCTCCTTGTTAAAAACTCTGTTTGTCCTTGATTATCAACTAAAAGTCACCCAATGAAGTCATATACGAGCATTGTGGGAAATGCTTTTTCTAATACTAGAATATACACTTTGAAATATTGCATTTAGTTTTTCTACCGACTGAAATAGGATAGTTTTGAGGCTCTTGTTGATAGTTGATTGGGTTTTATGGGTGTTTGTCACTTGGCACTTGTCTAAATGGTGTCCTAAATGGTTACTTACTAGTAGTTGCTTTGCAGTTGTCGGGGTGTTGTAGATGTTTGTTAAGGAGTGTCTAGGGTGTTCAGATGATGATGTGGTGTTGTTGTCTCCCATTTTATCATCCTCCATGTAGAAGTCTGATCGATTTTGTTGATGTGTGAACTGATATTTGACTCATTTCATTAGCCTCAGAGAAATATATGTGTTAAATAAATGAATAAATGGGTTCAATTGTGGTTGGGAAGAGCCATTATAAAGAAACATAACACACTACAGTTCAACCTTTTTCACTTTTGATGAAAATGAACATATTTTATTGTTTTTATTTAGCAATGATTCATTAAATTGACCAAATGGACAGTAAAGACATTTATAATGTTAATAAAAGATAGTTTTTCAAATAAATGCTTTCTACTAATCAAAGAATCCTAAAAAAGGTATTATGATTCCCAAAAAAATTTGAAGCACAACTGTTTTATATATATATATATATATATATATATATCACATATATACAAACGATTAATTTTAAAATATTAAAAATATTTTATATAATATAAATTATATATAATTCTATATATTTTATTTTGAATGTGATTAATCATATATATATATATATATATATATATTTTATCAAATAAATTCAGTCTTGGTGAGCATAAGAGACTCATTTGAATCTTACCGACCCCAAAATGTTTGAACAGTAGTGCATGTGTGAAAAGATTTATTGTAAAATGAACTTGAAAAAATTCAACAACAAAAAAATACTTTTTTAAGGCATAAAAACATTGATCAGACAGGAACCAGCGAGCAGGATCTTAAAATACAGAGGCAGATCCGCTCCTGACAGTTTTACCTAATTAGAAAGATCCTTAAAAACCAGACGGCGGAGAAACAGGCATTAATATGCAAACATAATGATCAGCTTAGCAGTACGTCCCCAGTTCCCGTGGATCAGCCTGTCTGTCTGTGTGAAAATTGAGGTTTGGTCTGCTAAAATATGAGCCTCCGGGTTAGACTGATAAATTGCAACACTCAGTAAACTCGAGTCAATCGATAAACCGAGAGCTGCCAGCGCAGAGCCGGAGAAAAAGCTCTTCACCAAGACGGCTTAAGTATTGTAGGTTACATCACGACATAATTGGGTTTTAGATTTTGTAATTACAGCGCATGCATATGATTCTCATCAACATTTGTGTCATTTTGTCTCATTTCACACATCTTCGCCCTTAACGTTAGCCTGTAATTTTAATTGTAAATTTTAAGTCTCCCAAGAGCTACATAGACCATCTTAATCTCAGGTTAACAACCAAAGTGATGCTAATTCACTTTGCAAACTCAATTTAGACCATATTAAACTGTTAGTTTGCTACCTTGGGCTACGCTGACAACTTTTAGAAGTGTAATCAGCTTCCAAGGGCATGTTTCGCATTTACTACGACAATCGAATCCACCTGAGCGCTTCAGGCCTCAGGTAGATTGAGCCATCAGCTGGGTTTTCATGACACACGGGCTGAATCGCAAACTAGTGTTGGGAAACATAGAGCTTAGTCAGCCTTAGTCTCAGCATGAAGTCTGGTCCAATTTGCAGCTTATTATGGCCAAGAACTGACAGATATGACATGTAAAGTTGCCAGTGTAACTCAGTTTGTTAGTTCGTGACATGTAGGTTTAGTTTAGGGGCATGTCCACATGAGAGATGGCAGAGAGCAGTACTGCAGTGTATGGTAGTGATTGACTTTGCTTTTCAACAATATGAATAACATGCTTTGGTAAATCATAATTGTGGTGATAACATTCCAGGATTTTTCTCCATATAATGGACTTCAATGGGAACCAAATGGTTCAAGGTCCAAAAGACCGTTTCAGTGTAAACTGCAAACTGTTCAAAGGGCTTTAAACGATTCCAGACGATGAATAAGGGTCTTATCAAGCGAAACGATCGCTCATTAAAAAAAAAATATATAACAAAGTTTAAGTTTTATAAGCTCAAATGGTCGCCTTGATTTGTTAGGGTTAGGGTTAGGGTGTGATGTGTGTTCGTGACTCTCCTATTCAAACTCATTCATCAAAATAAACAAATCTTTTCCTGAGTCAACTCGTTCATTTTGTTCGTTGAATGAACCAAATGACACGAAAAAAAGATTTGTTCGTTTTGATGAACGAGTTCAAACAGGAGAGTCACGAACGCGCATCACAGAACAGAGCAAGGTGACCATTTGAGCTTATAAAACTTAAACTTTGTTATTAATTTATTAAATGAGCGATCGTTTCGCTTGATAAGACTCTTATTCATCGTCTGGAATCGTTTAAAGCCCTTTGAACAACATGCAGTTTGCACTGAAACTGTCTTTTGGACCTTGAATCGTTTGGTTCCCAGTAAAGTCCATTATATGGAGAAAATGCTGGAATGTTTTCATCATTCTTTTCGACTGAAGAAAGAAAGACATGGATATCTTTGATGACATGGGGGTGAGTAAATTATCAGCAAAAGTTTTTTTTTTTTTTTTTTAAAGTGAACTACTCCTTTAAGAAGATCCCACATTATTTATTATGTTTTTACAATAGCAGCAATCACCTAACTTTGGAAATGTTCAATACCATGGTTAGCATAGTCAGTTTCCATGAGGATCAGATCCCTCTGTACTGTATTATGTTCACAATGAAAAATGTTGTGTGGCCAATAATCAAGTAGAGTTGTGCGAGCTCTGTGTTGCGTGATGACCGGCGCTGCTCTCACACGGATTGAGCAAGACTGCGGCACATTGATATTCAGGCCACGACTCCCTCTGGTTTTAATGAGAGTGCTTAAGGGCAAGGCAGAGCTAGCATGCCAGCTGCCGGCATTAGATCGCTCCAGCCTAATGAGATAAATACAGTCATTAGTGCGTGTGTGGGGCTGGGAAATGGAGTACTATTGAGGCATAACACACAGGAGACACGGCGAGGGGATGCAGGATCCAACCGGACCCTTCAATCGCTCGTGGACCAGCGTTTAGATCATGTAGTCACGACTTATCTTCAGCAAACATGCATGTACGTTATGTCAGTAAACTGAAGCCTCAGGCGATATCTGTGTCAAATTAAAAAGAAATGTAGGAATCTTGGTAACGGAGGTTTGCGAGGACTCCTGACTAGAGTGTGCGTTTGTGGACTTAACCCTAACCCTAATTCTCAATTGGTAATTGATGGTGTGCAGTTGTCATTGTTATTCAAATATATGTTTATCATGAAAAATGTCAAGAAATATTCAGGTCATTTTTCACAAAAGAAAAAAAAATCTTCTATTTGCATTATGATAATGAAGCCCATTTTTAGGACCATTAAGATTTTTTTTAGCTTTGTGACATGACAATTAAGCACATTTTCCTTCTCCCCAAATTAGTCGCCTTCGATAGTGCGAAAACATTTTTATTCTCATTACTGTAATGAAAAATTATAATAATTTTCATTTATAATGTTTTTTTTATGTTATATATTATGATATTTACATATTTACATAAAATACAGCTTTAACACTATTTGTTCTATGATTATATAATACTAATGTTTTAAAAAATAGTATATTCATATAAATAATATAGTAAAAAAAAGTACAATTGTAAGTTTGCATCATGATATTATTTGTTAAACTGAATTTAATTTATGCAATATAATATTGAATATTCTGAATACAATTATTTGATTGATATCTGGTTATAGAATGAAAATGTTATTTATTTATTTTTATTGAATGTAAATGTGCTTAAATGTCATGAAAAGAATATCACAATCAATGCAAAAAATGTTCCTATCAGAAAAAAAAGGTACAAAAGCTGTCACTGGGGCTGTACCTTTTCAAAAGGTACACTTTTATACCCAAAGGCTGCCTATTGGTACCTTAGTGGTACATATTAGCACCTAAAATGTGCATATTAACACTTAAAATCTTTAGCGCCTAAAATGTACATATTAGTACCTAAAATGTACACATTAGTACCTAAAATGTACATATTTCCACCTAAAATGTACATATTAGCACCTAAAATGTACATATTAGCACCTAAAATGTACATATCAGTACCTAAAATGTACATATTTCCACCTAAAATGTACATATTTCCACCTAAAATGTACATATTAGCACCTAAAATGGACATATTAGCACCTAAAATGTACATATTAGTACCTACAATGGACAAAAGTTTACCTTTTGAAAAGGTCCAGCCCCAGTGACAGCTTTTGTACCTTTTTTCTGAGAGTGTATAATAAAATATTATTTTTTTTTCTTTTCTTTTGATTTTATAGTGAATTATGACTTCTATTTTGAGATTCACCCATCACAAACATTTACAAAATAATTTACCATGGACATTATTTTTGTCGGTTTGTATATCCTTTGATTATTTGGATTTTAACGTTTAAGAAGAATAATGATCATCACTAAGCACCCATTCACGGGTTTCACATTGACCACCCAGTTAGTGAACCAGAAGCGGCTTCTTTTTATAGCAGACACTGATGTTTCATTTCGGTCCGTGTGATCATCTCACCCACTCTCTCTCATTATTAGCTTTACTCTGGATATAACCTTTTCCTCTTCTGTCTTTATCTGCCTGTCAGCAAGGAGACCCCGGCTGACCTCAGATCAGTGCAGAAGAATATGTGAGTTTTTGGCGGTTTGGTTTGGCGTGGAAATGGGCTAGAAAAATCACTACCGGGCATTGGGCACTGATGTGCTTGGTTTTGCAGGCGTGTGTGTTTGTGTTTTCAGGCTGGTACATGGGGAACCAATCATTAAAGTTTCTACAGAAAATTCTGCTTTGGTACTTGGAAGCGCAGGGAATCTGTTGAGTCACCAGTTACAAAAACATAACATATCCTCCCTTTTTCTCTTTATGTGTCCATGCCCTCTTTCTTTCTTCTTTCGTTATTTCTTCCTCTCCTCACTTTCTTTAAACCCTCATCCAGGTTTGGGAGGAAAAAAGAGGATAAAGCCAAATCTAAGGCTAAACAACTGGGCGCTTTGAGCGAAGAGGAGATGGACAAGAGTGAGCCTGAGCTGTTTCAGTCCAAGTATGTTAGCCTTTAAGAGTATTATTGTAACATATTTTATTCATCCCATAAAATTCAGTTATAAAATAGTAGTTGTTGTTCTCTTCGTGCAGAAATTAAAGAGGAGGGATGTTTAACATTTCTAGTGTGTAAAGAGTTTTGTAAAGAGTGTGTTTTTAATCCCACAGGAGTGAAAGGAACAGCCCTGCTCCGGACCGTTTCACCTTCCCGGACGTTGAAGATGATGATCTGGATCCCAACTATGCTCGCATCAACAATTTCAGAGAACCCCCTGCCTCCAGTCACTCCCCGTATCCACCCGGGACTCCCACCCACAACTACTCTCAGCCTCCCGTCCCGAACAGAGAGGAGGAGCTAGAGGGCCTTTATGCAAAAGTGAACAAGCAAAGAGCCGCCCCTCCAAAGACTGACAGGTGGGAACCAGTCTATACACTTTTTGCATAAAATGACAAATATTGTGCAATATTGTGTGTTTTGTTTTGTGTGTGACCAGTACTGATTATGTATCCGATAAGTAGCAGAATAATTTTAATTGTTTTATTTTGGCTTTTTGACACAATAATAAGTAGACATTTGTTACTGTGCGTTCACACCAGACGCAAATAGCACGTCAAATTCGTGCCTACCTCGTCTTTGAATCCATTCGCACGTCGAGCGAAATTTATGCGTGTAAAAACAAAAGTGCTTCAGAATCGAAACCCGTTGGCAGCCATCTTTTTTTATGTTGATCGAGCATTCATCGAGAATCACCGCTCTGTATTTGCATGAATGCACAAATAGCACTAACTAAATCATTCGCGCTTAACGCGGCAGACGCTCAATTCGCGCGAACGAGGTCTATTCGCGTCTTCCACGCCGTGCTCTACGCCTCATTTGCGCCGCAGGAATTTTTGCGCGCCTAACGCGTCTTTGCCTTGACTTAACATCGAAATCACTCGCGCCTGACGCGCTACTTGTGTCCGGTGTGAACGCACCATTAGACTACAACTGTAAACAGATAAAAGAATAATAATAATAGTTTGTTTAATATCCTATTATTATGATTACAATATTTATATTATGCACAATAATATATATATCTATTATTTTATATTAATTTTTTTATACTAATAATATTTAATGCTAATATTTTGAAATATTGTTATTTATTATATTATTATTAAATTTTGTTAAATTTGATGTTTAACTTTTTTTATATATATATTTTTTATAATAATTATTTTATTATTAGCATTTATTGGTCAAACCTATTATCTCTGTTATCCACTGTTAAAAAAAAAAAACCCCTCTTCTCAATAGTCACTCAGTAAAATGAAATCAAAGGAAAGTTTTAGTACTTGTTGAACCCGTTATCAAAAGCATAAAACATTTTGCTTTGTCATTGTACATGCAACACACCAAAAATCCAGGCACATCGGTAACGAACGCTTTGGCCTTTTAGTGGAATCAAGCTGAAATATTGACAGACGGGTCTGTGGAGTCATTTGTGATTTACTGTGCAGTTCTACAGTCTGTATATACAGTGGGAATGTACGTCTCACTGGTGAGTTTTTAGTCCGGGTTGAGTGGTCTCAACGACAGAGCCCATTGATTTGTTGTCTGGCGGTAATTATGCGTGAGTGTTGCAGTGTCCGCGGGGACCGTGTTCATTCTTGCTCTAGTCCTACCATCGATTCGCACAAGATTATCTTCCTTGCACTGTGCTGTCCACCGAGCTCAGAAGAGCTGTAATCCTATCACACACACGCTCTTGTACATGTTGCTGTGAGAAATACACTGAGAAACACATTTGGATACCTTATCAAGTCTACACACCTCTTTTCCTGTTCATAAATATACAAAGATATTTATAGATTATGACAAAGCACGATATACAGTGCACTCACCTAAAGGATTATTAGGAACACCTGTTCAATTTCTCATTAATGCAATTATCTAATCAACCAATCACATGGCAGTTGCTTTAATGCATTTAGGGGTGTGACAATCTCCTGAACTCCAAACTGAATGTCAGAATGGGAAAGAAAGGTGATTTAAGCAACTTTGAGCGTGGCATAGTTGTTGGTGCCAGACGGGCCGGTCTGAGTTTTTCACAATCTGATCTCAGTTACTGGGATTTTCACACACAACCATTTCTAGGGTTTACAAAGAATGGTGTGAAAAGGGAAAAACATCCAGTATGCCGCAGTCCTGTGGGCGAAAATGCCTTGTTGATGCTGGAGGTCCGAGGAGAATGGGCCGACTGATTCAAGCTGATAGATGAGCAACTTTGACTGAAATATCCACTCGTTACAACCGAGGTATGAAGCAAAGCATTTGTGAAGCCACAACACGCACAACCTTGAGGCGGATGGGCCACAACAGCAGAAGACCCCACCGGGTACCACTCATCTCCACTACAAATAGGAAAAAGAGGCTACAATTTTCAAGAGCTCACCAAAATTGGACAGTTGAAGACTGGAAAAATGTTGCCTGGTCTGATGAGTCTCGATTTCTGTTGAGACGTTTAGATGGTAGAGTCAGAATTTGGCGTAAACCGAATGAGAACATGGATCCATCATGCCTTGTTACCACTGTGCAGGCTGGTGGTGGTGGTGTAATGGTGTAGGGATGTTTTCTTGGCACACTTTAGGCCTCTTAGTGCCAATTGGGCATCGTATAAATGCCACGGCCTACCTGAGCATTGTTTCTGACCATGTACCATTTATGCACGTTTTCTTATCTAAAAATGTTTATTTTTGTTTGCTTAATCGAGCGCATACATTTTGTATGAGCATTTTGGGAATTTGTTTCCATCCACCGTTTTTTATGCAATATCCCAAAATGCACATAATGGAAACATAGCTACTGGTGGCTAAAGCCAACTAGACCACAAATCAGAGACTATGAGTACTGGCAAACTTTTTGTGAAGTCCTCATACAGGTTTGGGAATTTTTTTACTAAGATGATTTTCATCATGATAAATGACATAGATAGTATGGTTATCATGGTAAACATGTTTCTGCCACAACACCATAATTCCTACATATATTAATAACACATGCAATTAATCAAGTTGACAGCACTATTTTTATACACAGCTTTCTGATGAAAATGCACTTAAAATATATTTTTATTTTGTATTTATTTGAAAAACATTATCATTATACTACAGTTCATCTGTATTTTAATTCAGTTTATTGTAGTTTAGTTTTGCTTGAGTAAATGATCATTTTTCAATCATTTAAAATTTTGTGTAAACTGTCTCTATATTGGCATTTGATGAACAGTCATGGCACCGTGTTGGGTCACCATAGAGTAAAATCTGTCAACGTCTGACAAGTGGAACTCACTAATGTGACCGTATGAGTAGATTACGCCGGGTCTTATCAAAGAAGAAAGTGTGAGAAATGTCTCGCCTGGGCCCATGAATTGAAACCATCGCTAGAAGTGTGTGCGCGCAAGTCTCGATTTTCATGTCAGAGAGCAAATAAGAGAGAAAGATAGCGGGAAAGAGACGGTCAATTAACCACAAAGTAACAGTCAGACAGATCGGCGAAAACCCCCTCCTCATCTCGCCGTCTCGCTATCTCCGAGTGCTGATGTCTCATCTACTTTAGCAGGGGACTTAATTACCATTCTATCTCGCGTGTGTCGCCTGACTGCTCCTAACAGCCCTTTGTTCTTGCTGGCATTTTGTGCATAATAGATGTGACTAATAAATGTTAGTGCTGATCAAACATGCAAAATAGAGCCTTGCTTTCCTTGTTTGGGAGAGTTTGAGCGCCGCACGGCCATTTTTTCAGCAGAAATGCTGACACGGAGTCAGTGGCAGCCAGAAAAGCTGGCCCCAGCTCCAGATATCTGGAGCGCATCCAGCGCTGAGGAATGGGCTTAATCGAACTAATGGCCCACCAGCCGTGTACTCTGGCCAACTCTAATTCTGTGAAGAAACTGCTGTTTCTTAACGCCTTCCCTCCAATTCCGTGTTGTTCTCCATCACGTCGGAGCAGTAAACACTGTTAAGATGCATCTCTAGCCAAATTGCGTGTATTTCTACGTTGTTCTGTAAAATTAGGTTTTAAAAGTAAGGTTTACCTCTCACTAAACCGGTTAGCATACTGTCCATCTGTTTTTAGCATGCTAACTAGTTTCCACTAGTACTTGTTTCGACTGGAAAATGATAAATTATTACTTCTTATAAATTATTGAGGCATCTCTTTCAAGCTTGCTTTATTTTAATTATTTCACATTTTTTCTTCAAGATCTATGACAGACTTGGATATTCTCATAGATTCCTGGTGAAAATGTACCTAAAATATAATAATATCAATAATACAAATGTTTCTTGTTGTTGTTGTTGTTTTATATATATATATATATATATGCAAATCTAGCAATACAATTTTATTTCAGTTTTTCAATGTTTAATAGTCTAAAAAGATAAAGAGATTTTATTTTATAATTGTATGATATATATATAATATATGTGTGTGTGTGTGTGTGTGTGTGTTTGTAAATCACATAATATATTTTACAAATGAAAATATACAGATTTTAATAATTTTATTTTAATATTAATAATAAATTGAATTTATATAGCGCTTTTCTCTAACTCAAAGTCGCTTAATATAATATTCAATGGCTTTCACTATAACTTATAGATTTTCATAGTGTAGGTACTTAAGTATATATACTAGGAGTATCAGTGGTAACAATAATAATTATAATAATAATAATAACAACAATACTTTGTAGTAATAGAAGTAGTTGTTGTATTAAGAAATTATGTAGGCCTATATGAAAAACAAATCATAGGTTTCATATGAAAATATAATAGTTTAATTGAAGGAACAATAACTCTATTTTTTTGTTTGTTTTTTGTTTTTTGGCCTAAAATGTTACATGTGTGTAAGGGGAAAACTAAAGTTGGACAGTAGTTTTACCATAATCCTGAAACTTATAACTATATTTTCAAGCTGTTTATCCAATTAATCAAAATCGAAATAAATCTCATTTCCATGCGCATTTCCTGTGCTGATCCCTGATCTCTCACACTCCTCTCTGACAGCCCTATCACGACAGAGCAAGACTGTATAATTGAGGAGTGGACATATTCATTAAGACCTGGATGGCAGGTGTGTTTAGAAGAGGGTGTCACTTCTGATTACAGGCCTGTGTGGTGGCGTCCAGCTGGAAAAGATGGCAGCCAGTTGTCAGATCTCATTATAAAACACGTCCTGCGGAAATAAGATAGAGGTATAGAGATGAAATGAACGAAGAAGCGGAGAGAAGTGCGTCACGGTTTCTAGTCAATATCTATTCATTCAGGGATTATTTGGCTGTCCAAGCTCCATTTGTTGACAGCTTCACAGTCAGATTGTGGATTAATTCCCCCATCTGTAATCATATTCATTAATCTGTGGAAACTAATCCAAGACCATGCATTCCTTGTCAGACAGGGCCTAAAACTAACTTTTTGCCACACTCGCCCATGGCCGGTGACTTAAATATTTTACCATGAAAAACAATGCAAAAACAGACAATTATGACACCTACATTTTATATACCACTGAAAAGTCACAAAACTTAATCACTAGCCTAATGAATAAATTTAGGCTATAAATGTAAATATAGTTTTCACTGTATAAATTAAACAGATTAATCCTTATTAAAGTTACAAAAGCAGTTAGTGATTTTTTTTCTTTGTCCTAAAAATGCAGAAAAGAGCAGGATGATTAGGCTGCTGTTACTTTAAAACCTAAAGCACGGATCCAAATTGAGTTCCCTTTTGTGTCTTCTTGCATTTGAATATTTAGATTGGCAAGGCTCACATTCTCAGTGTTACAAAAGATTATATTTCAGATACATGCTGTTCTTTTGATATGGGGAAACCCAGGCCACCTGTTTATACCAAAAAGTCCAGTTTGACACAAAAAAGCAAAAAAGAGAAATATAAAATATTCACAATTTGTTCCATCAAAACTTTTAACACAACCAATAATTAAAAAAAAAAAAAAAAAAAAAAGTGTTTAAAAAAAATATATTTTCATATAAATAAATAGAAAATATTTTGTAATATGTAAAAATATTTTTTTCTAACTTTGTATTTTTTTACATTTTCAAAATGTTATTTTTTTGACACACATCTACAATAAAAAAAAATAAATAAAAAAAAAACAGCCCAACACAGTCATTGACAAAGTCGCACACAAGATCCTTTCTGTGACGCAAGTATGGATAGGAGGAATTGGGTAGTATCAGTATAGTTCTAGTGAAGTTAATAATCACTTTAACAAACACAACAGTAATATATTAATATCAGTATTAGCGTTGGTAGTATCAATGGTAGTATTCACAATGATAACATTCATGACAACAATAGTAACACTGCAACAATAGTGACAATAGCCAAAACTTTTGAGATGATTTGATGTGATCTCACTTCACGACTAGATCGTGCACATGCTCATAGGTAGCGTTGCTTTCTGTTGCTCAACACAAGCGCTAATTAGCTTTAATCAAATGTAACATAAACAGGTAAAACACAGCAGGAAACGGACACGGTCGGTGATGATGATCTCAGATTGCTTTGTCTAATTCTGTCTCAAAGAAGGAAAGGTAATATCTCCGGCCTTTATACGGTTTGTGCGGCACCGTTATCATAACACGCCAAATGAACTGGTGATGACAGCCGGCCTTCAGACGCGCTCTCGTGTTTTTTGCAGTGTTTCTGTGTGCTATATTCAGTTTCTTTAGCCCTCTAAAGCACTCCAGGTCTGCTCCAGTCCTGTAAATAACATGAATATGATGCATACATGCTTGACGGGAGCTAATTAAACATTGATAGTGTTTCTCATTCAGAGGGTCATGTGGACTCTCAATCAAAATGGCAGCTCTAATTGCGTTCTTTGGGATTAGATAATGGATGCCGTTCCCTCTCCGCGTGTCCTCCTCCAGCTGCTGGAGTGCCATAGATCGCTGCCTCCAGTATTTTCAATTATTTTGAAGTTGGCAACATCTGTGGATGTAGTTTCTAGAAGGTTATGCATTTGTGGTGTATGTGTAAGTCCAATGAAAAACAAAAATGGACATGCATCATAGCACTACGTCTTGCGTTTAGTGTAAGTTGGTTATATATATTTGTTTAGATTTAATAATAATAATACATCATTAATGATATAAATGTACAAGAATAACTGTATATTGAATTAAAACTATATATAATTCATGTATTATACGTTCATTTTAATGTGCTGCTTTAACATGAATTTGCAGAGAAAGTTGAAGCTGTTTAAATGGTTGATTTTATAATGCTAGTTCTGCTTTGAATCAATACTTGCCCTTAGGTTACATGTGTGTTTATGGAGCTCACAGATGGATAATTTAATACACTGAATTTTACATCAAGTGCAGTTTATTTTCACTGCATTTGATTTGGGAATCTGACAAACAGAATTGCACATTAACTTTGGCCTCAAGTCAAACACTTTTTAAACGTTAGGATGAGACAGATTTACTGTGATATGAATGATTACTGAATTTGCTGTGGTGACTTTTATGTGCTTCTAGATTCCCCTTTACTTTACTTGTTTATATTTTCTAGATGGACTATCTTTTTATTGTGATTGATTTCACGGAAGCTCTTTATTTTACAGTGCTGTTCCATGTACTTATTAAAGCAATTACAATAACAATATCTACTATGCACACCCCTAAACCTTAAAGGAGCCGTTCACTTTAAAAAAAAACCAAAAAACTTTTGCTGATAATTTACTCACCCCCATGTCATCCAAGATGTCCATGTCATTCTTTCTTCAGTCGAAAATAAATTAAGGTTTTTGATGAAAACATTTCTGGATTTTCTCCATATAATGGACTTCATTGGGCACCAAACGGTTCAAGGTGCAAATGAGAGTTTCAAATGGCTTTAAACGACACCAGAGGATGAATAAGGTGAATGAGACGATGTATTATCTAGCGAAACGATCGCTCATTTAAAAAAATAAATAAAAAAGTTTAAGTTTTATAAGCACAAATGCTCGCTTTGCTCTGTTCTGTGATGCGCGTTCGTGACTCTCCTGTTCGAACTCGTTCATCAAAACGAACAAATCTTATTTCGAGTCATTTGGTTCATTCAATGATTCAACGAAATGACTCGAAAAAAGATTTGTTCATTTTGTCATGAACGCGCATCACAGAACAGAGCAAAGCGAGCATTTGTGCTTATAAAACGTAAAGTTTGTTATTTATTTTTTAAATGAGCGATCGTTTCGCTAGATAAGACCCTTATTCATTGTCTGGTGTCGTTTTCGACTGAAGAAAGAAAGACACGGACATCTTGGATGACATGGGGGTGAGTAAATTACCAGCAAAAGTTTTTTTTAAAAGTGAACTACTCCTTTAACCCATGTAGTTGTAAGTAACCTTGCGTTACTTTTTGGGTAAATACATTAAGGCCCCGTCCACACTACTGCGTTTTCGTTTAAAAACTGAGAATTATAACGAATATGATCTCCGTCCACACCAGCGTTTTATCCGTGTATTGAATTGATCTCCGTCCACATTAAAACGACTGAAAACACGGATCACGTGACCATTCACCAACACTGGGCATGCGCGTGCCAGTGTAAACAGTGGCTGACGAATCACGGAAGGATACGTCATGACTGATGACACCCAATCACAGAGCCGAGCGTGAGTCTCTGCGTCAGCGTTTCTAAACTCCTCTGTTTTGTCCCGTCTTCACTAAAACACCCTCCGGAGATTCAAAACGCCAAACGGAGCTGCAGCGTTTCTAAACTTCTCCATTTTAGGTCTTCGTTTTTTCCGCTTTAGTCTGGACGGGAGGTGCAAACGTAGCAAAAGTTCTCCGTTTTTAGGGGCCCAAGTACACAACTGTAAAATAAAGTGTAACCGATTGATCTAATTATCTGTGAGGTCATTTGTGAAGATGTTTTCCAGGGTGGTTGATGGGAGTCTGTCTCGTTTCTCTGTCTTCATGTTGCAGTAATGAAGATCGATTGCAGCAAATCCGAAATCAGCTTCAAAAGGCGAGACCGGCTCCAGCCTACGAAGACCTGAGCAACCGAAGACGCCCAGAGTACGACCCTTCACGAGTGAGTGCATGTCCGCTCTCTTGCTTTCTTTCAGGACGTCACAGACTGAAGTCTGGCTGCTTTCTCAGCTCAGATTATCAGGGTTCATCTTGTGGGGTTTCAAGCCAAATCTAAAGTAATCCGACTAATCTGTTCATCTGCTTAGACACAGGACCCGCTCACGGAAATACATATCATAATGTCATTGTTTAGAATTATTGAGGTTTTTTTTCCAGTATTACAAACATAACGTCATATTTCATGATATTTCACGGCATAATATGATATTATAAAAAAAAAAAAAATGGAACATCCCATGAAATTGTCATGTACAGTAAAGAGCCACTATTTGGACCCTTTCTAAAGCATGATGGGTAAATAATCCCATTCCACTTGCTCTTTTTTTTATTTTTTTTTATTCACACAAATCATAGTGTTGACTGCATTTGTCGAGCTCAACATCCAGAACACCAAAGTTCTTGTAATATCAAACTGATGGTTTCCTTTGATTTATGAGTAAAGTTTATTAATATCTACAGACCAACATTTGGTTCATATAGGCTAAATCTCGTAACTAATCATGACTTTTTATTCAATTTGATAAATGTATGTATATTCATTTAGATATTGTTTTGTGTGTATTCAATTATTTATTATTTATCTTAATAATAATTTTTTATTACATTTAATAAATGTATGTTTTTTTATTTATTTGTATAATATTTTATATTTTTTATAAATACAATATGTATTGTATTACACAATTAATTAAACTTTTATATAATTTAAGCTATTTTTATTTTGTTATTTTTGTTTACTGATAGAAAAAGAACAAAATTATACTAGGGTTTTTTTCCAGACGTTTTTTTTTTTTTTCCCAGATTTTGGTGACAGGGTTGAAAAAACTCCAGACATTAGAAACAAATAGATTGTATTTCTGTTTATATTTTCTAAAAGTCATGATCCTCCATTTCGCAGTCTTTGTCAGAAAATAATAATCCTTTTTGAGGGTTTCAATCCCTGTTTTGTACATCGAGGGCCACTTTTAAAAGTGCATTGTCAAAAGTGATTGTGTGTGTGTGTGCATGCATTCGTGTGTGTGTATTCTCCTACTACTTTATGAACTCCAAACTCAAATTTGAGTTGCTTTTTCACCCTTTAATCAAGTCAGTTTCTCTTCTGATCTGCCCTGAAAACTATATTGCAACCACTTATTTCCATATACCCCCACCTTTCTTTTTCAACCCCTTTGTGAGTTTTTTTTGGAGGAGGTTTGCTTTAAAATTGAAGGCTTACGATACTCGTGGTATGGTCTTCAGCATGCATACTGTATAAACCCAGATGTATTTTTAGATCCTGATGTTGTCTAGTTGGCTTGTTCTATAGGTAGTAGTTTGTGTGGGTGTGTGTGTGTGTGTGTGTGTGTGGTGGGGCGTCTGCAATGCCCAGAGCTGTAAGTGAGCTGACCCATCCCTTGACATCCCGCACCTACACGCCGCACCGCTGGGCACACATGCAAATCCAGCTTCCCGTCATGGTTTTGTTTTTCATCCCTATGACAGCAGGACGTCTTATTATCGCCTTGGTCTTAATGTGCAAACCGAGGGCTGTTTATCACCCATAAACTCCCAGCACCAGACGTGTCTTGCTTAATACATAACTAAAACGGTATTAATAAATAACTCTTTGGGTCATTAAGGAAGAAAGATCAGCGCATCTCGCCACTGGTCTCGTTCGCTGGTTCCTCCCTCTGCATTATGAGAGTCTGTCGTTCATGGTGATGAGGCTCAGAGATAAGTGTTAGCATTAATGCTCTCTTTTCACTCATAAATATGAGACGGGCTCAAAGATTATGGCAAGATCTTTCCACAGCCATTTTAATATTCTCTACTGTTAATTCAACCAAAACAATAGACAATTGCATAGAACTGCATGCCTTTTGTTATTTATTTATTTTGATTTGTATATTATTCTTTAATTTATAGATGAATCATGTCGCTTTAAACCTGTGTTATTTTATTATAATTTATATACTATTATACATTTTATTAATATTTTGAATTAGCTTTTATTTTTTTAATTTCTGTTTTCATTTTCATTTTAGATTAAATTTGAGTAATTTTGCTGTTTTTTTCTCATTTGTATTATGTTTCTAACTTATTTCTATATAGCTATATTTATTTCAGTTTTATTTTTAATCATTTTAAAAATATTTTTATAAGATTTATAAGTAGTTAAAGTATACTTAAAGTATAAGTTTTCATCTAATATTTTATTTCTTCTTTATTTAAATTACCCAAAACAAGTCAATTTGTAATTGTTTTAGGTAATAATAATGTTTTTTTCATCCATACAGTAAAAGTCAATGTTGTGGGGTCCAATGTTGTTTTGACCCAATGTCTATCAAAATATCTCCTTTTGTCTTCTAAATAAGAGAGAAAATCAGACAGAAGTGACAGAATTTTCATTTTTGAGTGAACTATTCCTTTGTGTTAAAATAGTGCCGAGAAAACTTGCTCAGCTCGTTGCCTTTCAAGATTTTTGCTCCTTGTGTAAAAATAAAATAATAAATGACAAATGGGGGCATCCAACAAGATATTATGAAGATGAGCCATGAGATTTATTATGCATTAAAAATATGGGGGAAAAAATATGCTGAAACAGTAGGAAAAGAAGCCAGACAGAACCACAGAGATGAGAAAATTGACAATTTCGCTCAAATCCCTTCTAGAAATCACATGGTTTAAAAATGGCAAGGGTGACAGTCAGCCGTTCCTTTCTGGGCACTTTAAAACAAAAACTCAATCTAAATTGGAACGAAGGCTTTTTTTCAGATGCACTTATCGGAGCCCTGAACTCTGTCATTTCAGCGCCCGGAGCCATGCTCGCGTCCACCCAGATGTCCAGCACTTCATTTTCGAGAGATTGAGGGTTGTGTCCAGGGCTGGGCAAAGTTTACAATTATAGTTTATATGATTACACACATCTGCTGGAAAAAACACAAATTCATCGAGACTTTCCAGGAACGACTGAGAGAGAAAATAGAGGCTCTGATGCTGGAAAGAAAGTGACATATCTAGTGTCCGATGTTGCATGAAAAATAGTTTGTTAAATGATAGGTTAGAGTTGGCAAAGATTAACCTTTCATTTGGATGCATTGAAGCACATCTACATCACAGTTGTTTTAATGAATGGTGTAATGATTAACAACCATTTACAGGTTAACTAGTTAGTGAGATTGCATTCCGCTTGGCCGCCAGCCAACTTAAATTTGGTTTGAACTTGCCATTATAACATTTCTGTGAATAACGTTACACAATTTACTCCTATTCAGATCAGTCAAAATATATTTCTGGCCAGCATTAAACATTTAATTAAAATCAAATCATATTTTATTTACTTTGCTAAATTGCCTCCATGAAACATTGCTAATGTCCTAATCAAATCAGTCTCCCTACACTTTCATACTACTACACTAATAATTTAAATTACTGCATGCATTACAGAAAGTTTGAACGTTTTTTTTTTTTAGGAAGTTAATACTTTTATTCAGCAAGGATGCATTCAATTGTTTGGAATTGACAGTAAAAAAAAGTGTTTTCAAAAGATTCTATTTCAAATTAATCGTGTTATTTGCAATATAAATATACTGTAAATCACATTTTAAAATGTATTCAAATAGAAAATTTTAAATAGAAATAATATATTACTGATTTAACTGTATTTTTTTATCAAATAAATGCAGTCTTGGTGAGCACACTTTAAAAAAGTTCTATTAGTTGGCTTTAGTTAATGCATTTAGTAATGTTATCTAATAATGAGCAATACATTTGTTATAGTATCTGTTAATATGTTTTAATGTTATTTTATAAAAATACAACTGTTCATTGCTAGTTCATAATCAGCTCAGGTCCAGTAACTAATGTTAACAGATACAACTTGTGATTTGAATAATGTATTATTAAATGTTAAAATTAACAATGACTATTAATAAATGCTTTAGAACTATTCTTCACTGTTACTTCATGTAAATTAATGTAATTAACTTCCTAAGTGTTACTAAAAAAACCCCAAACTTTTGAACAGTAATATATACATTAGTATATACAATGCACTGTAAAAAGCAAATCATGATTTGTTATCATAATGTTTTTTTTCTTCTATCAAATCAACTTAGATAATTTATGTGGTTCAGATAACATGATATTTCGAGTTTCTGATGATTAAATCAATCTCCTTCATTGTATTAACTCAATTTTTCAATTTCAATGAACTTAAAGTTTTAAGGCAACCAGGTTACTTCATTTTTTTATGTTAAACCAACAATATTTTTAATATACGTTAATAGTTGCTTGAACCATATATTGTCTTATTTAGAGCTGATTGGTAGTTTTAATGTTGACTGTAAAAACGATCCGAGGTATAAAGTTTTTGACAATGTCCGTTTAGTAAATGAACTTGTACTTCATAGAGAAGTGGCAGTTTACTCCGAAATATATGAATGAATATGTGAAATGAATAAAAGGATAAATAGTTGCTGTCAGAATAACAGAAGAAACGGAGAAGGACGTTCAGGCCGCCATAAGGACTAGCATGTGGTGTCGACGCACATACACACACACAGCAGGGATGGTGTATGATTCATTAACAGAAGAATTTAATTGGATTACAGACTGGTTTTCACAGACCTTCAGTCTGTCTCGTGTGTATTAGTGTGTGTGTCTGTTCTTCAGATCTCGTCTATGATCTCATACCGCACAAGTAGGGATGAACCAGTAGAGTTTCTGACCAATGGAAGGAGTAATTATCAGTACATTTATCAGTCCCTCCAGGATTTCACAAAGTGACTGATTTTGTGGTGGTTCCAAAAATTTCCAAAAATTTGTGAAAAAATTTGCGATTTATATATAACATTTGCCATAATAGTAGTCAGTCCTTCCAGAAAAACACGGAGTTTTTTTGTGATTGTTGCGGGCAAAAATTGCTTGATTACGCGGCCCGTTTTCTTTAAAAATGCGATG